CGGTCGCAACGTACGGCCGTTTCGTCCTCGCTCTTTATTTCGTCCGAAACGTACAATAGGGGGCGGCGACCGTACATCCGCCTTCGGTACGGTACAGCAGTATATATATATATATATATATATATATATGTAATATCAATGAATTGTAAAGTCAAATCACATAATGTATAAGGGATGTGGGTGCAGGCCTAATATCTCTCGTTATCTCGCGAAGACAATTCTGTTTATGTGATCTTACGTGGTTGAAAAGGAGAAGACCCTGCCACAAGTAGGTACGCATCACGAATCACAATCTAAATAGTTCCCTCCGGTCGCAACGAGGGCCTACGGCCTTTCGCCTCGCTCTTTATTCGCCGAAAGTCAATAGGGGGCGCACCGGTTTAGAAAGAAGTAGAGTCCCTTTATAAAGAGATAATCTTTATATTATCTCTCTATAAAAAGGGACTCTAGCAAGAAGGCTAATTATGATATTCATTGTAGCATCTGCGTAAAGAGAATGAAATATAGGAGCTGTAGCTGGAAGAAAAAATGATTTTGATAATTATACTAATTATAACATGATATTAGTAAGTTTAATCGTCAGTGATGACGTTAGTTTCGGTAATGCAGTAAAGCTACACACGACACGCGCACTGTCTCTAAGTAGAGAAGGTTTAATTATCAAACGTTTTGGTTACTAATACTGCGTTGAAATAATCGAATTCGTTGCTGTCGGCCCGCCATCTACCGGAATTATTTGGAAAGTAAACATGCTATCTAACATTCACACATTCACGCACCGCGCGCTCGCATGCACTTACGCACGCACGCACACACGCCTGCACGCACGCTCGCACGCAGACACGCACGAGCAGATGATTAAGCTACTTGAAATATTACCAATGAGAAATATTAGTAATGAAATACCATATCATTGTTACGCCTGAAGTGGCTAAAAGCGACAGCATATGTGAATCAGTCTGTAAGTATATAGTAAGGAGCACGGACATTTGATATACTGTTTATAGGTTTCCACTTGGATCACGCCAGTATCGCTCAAGGGGTCGTTGTCGTATCAGGTCGTTGTCGTAATACTAAACAACCTAAAACTACCTCGGGTACATATCTGTAGTACCTGATACGACAACGACCCCATCTGCGCCAGTATCCATTGCTATTATAGGCTAAACTACATGAGCAATGGCGCGGGTCGCCTTTAGCCACGCAGAACAATGATTGTCGGCAGAATCGGGCAGATCCTACGGGATCAAAAAGGACGGCGGCATGGTCGAAGGAGCTGTGCATGGTAAACATCGATTATGTGATCGGCCGAAGAAAATTATATTGGCTGCGAACGGCGACCAGCGACGCGAACGCCATTTCTATGTACATTTGCATAGGTGGCGAATTGTGGCGGGATGCTGCGACCAAAGTGAAACTTTTGGAGCGAATTTTACTATGCACATCAGTCGCGGGCCCACCCCTACCTATTTTGTGCGCATAGGATTGCTCGATTATATAATAATACCGGCCCTCCAGACAACAGACATGCAAAGAAGCTATAACACCAAGCAATTTACGCGTCTCGTCGTCACCTCAACGGTTGCAATAACAACAAACGCCTAGACGCGCAAAGTTGTCTATATCGTTACACAACCCACTCCCATACACGTCGGTCCACACACCACACACACACGCAAGCACGCACGCACGCACGCACGCACGTACGCACGCACGCACGCACGCACACACACACAGTCACACACACACACACACACACACACACACACACACACACAGTCACACACACACACACACACACACACACACACACACACACAACACAACACACAATCACGTCACACACACCACACACTACAGCACACATCACACACACACACACACAGTCACACACACACACACACAACACCACGAGGCACACACACACCCACATCACCACACGACACGACAGTTCACACACACTACGCGCGGCGCGCACACAGCACATCAACAGCACACACACACACACACACTGGGGTCACACACGACACACAACCACACATACCCACACATATATATAGTATATACTATATATTATAACATACCCTATACATATTTAATATATGGCATAATTATATACACCCTCCCACACACACACACACACACACACATCACACACAGGCACACAACCCACGGTCCACACACACACAACAGAACACACACACACACACACACACACACACACACAGATGCAGAGATAGGGGAGAGAGAGAGAGAGACACACACATAGACAGAGACAGAGACAGAGATATAGAGAATGAGATAGATAGAGGGGGAGCGAGCGATGGACTGTGTGTCAATCAGGGCCGGACTAAGCGTGTGGGGGGCCCGGGGCACGCAATTGTGTGGGGGCCCTATAGTCTGTATTTTTCTGCACTTTCATGCTTGCAAATTCAGAGAGTATTTCATCGTGTTTCAACAAATTTAAAATGTCACTTTCGATAGCGAGAATACTGAGGTTTACCAGTCTCTGTTGGCTCATCGTGGTTCTCATGTGATTTTTAATCAACTTGAGTTTTAAAAATGACCTTTCACCGCTACAATTCGAGACTATCAATGAAAGATAGATTCTCAGAGCAATTTCGGTATTAGGGAAAGTGTCCTTCAGCTGAACAGCAAAATTCAGTCAGAGAAACAGCATGGGAAACACATCACTTCAACGTTACATGCTAAGAATTTTGTGGATCACAATTACGACAGTTTTGTAAATTTTAGGATACTCTAAATGTGGGGGGCCCCAAATGTGGGGGGCCCGGGGCAAGTGCCCCTGTTGCCCCGCCCTTAATCCGCTAGTGGTGTCAATACTAGGGGTCGTAGTGAATACCGCACCAAGGTGGGCAGCACCGTCATAGGCAGTGAACAAATTACGCCATCGCATGATCAGAAGACGCTACTAGGTGACAGCACCTCTCAGCACCTGTGTGTGTGTGTGTGTGTGTGTGTGTGTGTGTGTGCGTGCGTGCGTGCGTGCGTGCGTGTGTGTGCGGGCGTGTGCGTGTGCGTGTGTGTGGGCGTGTGTGGAAAATATAGATATGCTCGATCGGATCGAATCGATCCACACGACCGTCGGACCGATCTCTAATTTACATGCACATAAAGTTACGGAATCATCAATGAAGTTTCATCACCGTGTGTACGCGTCTGCGACTGCACGTGGTACGCGTGAATAATCACTGCACGAATCTTGATGAGTAATGCAGTAGTGATTTATCATTTTTGCTGCAAGATTTTTCGTCTACCGCCTCACACACTCATCCTGTGACTCCCACGTCACACATCCATCCACCCACCCACGAGTCCATCTATATCTATCCATCCACCCATCCATCCACTCATCCTTCCATCCATACATTCCATCAATAATACATAATAGAGATCTCTATATTATGTACAATTCTCTATTGTGAATCAATTTCTATTATGTACTCTTGATTCCATCCAATGAATTATGCATCTATCGATATATCCATATTTGGCCGCACGAGGGCGATACAATCGCAGGTAAAAACCAATCAACGTACGTGAGTTATGGTTCACTGCGCATGACACACCTTTACTGGTCATGATGGTATGCGGGTGAAGCGTAGTTCAACAGCAAGCAAGATCGTTGATGATGGCTTGTTTGCAAGCAACTTTGGTCGTGTTTATGATATTATGTGGCATAGTATGGTCCGAACGTAAGTAATGCGTAAAACTGCAGTTCATATAGTATATTGTGGTTATTGTTACCTTTCGGACTAATGCTTATTTCGATTAATAATGTTGACCGATCGCCATCTATCATTAACAAAGCAAAACACGTAGCGGGCGTCATTGCATTGGCGTAGCGTCCGCATGATTTCGTGGTCATGATGGTGGTGTTTAGAAGATGTCGTATAATTAGCACCAATATTATTACAGGCATCAGCCCTGAGTAGATATGAGGATGGGTGTTAGACACGGTGACTACAGTCTACAGCATGCATGCACAGTTTTTTTTTTACTTTATCTGATTCTATTAGTCTGTGAATAATTCAGTGTTTTTATCTTTGATTGTCTCTTGGCAACACCTCTTTTTTAACTAAAAATGTTTGAATGTCATATTTGGCTTTAATTTCAACTTGACTCATTCCTGCTTTGCTATTTTACTTCATGATGACAGTATAGTATTGTATACAATAAAAAAGTTTGGGAATGAGGGTGAGTTGCATGACTGTATAATCTCCAACAGGCCTGTACCCAGGATTGGCCTAATATAAGGGGGGTTCCAAATCAGAGGTGTGCGGGTGACTGCGAGCGCCAAAAGGGGTTGGACACACTAGGCGATTTTTCATGAGGTCGAGCCGGCCGGCTGAAATCGCCTAGTATGTCCAGTTAGTCGCGGTCGATTTTCGAGTCGGCCGGCTGAGTCCCCCGAATCAAGCATGTTTGATAAAATCGGGCGATTATTTGAGTCGCACGACTATATACAATGCAATACTATACAATGTGATTATACAATCCTCTACTACGCACGCCCGAATTTACAGTGTACAATTCATTAGCCAATCAAACGGTGCCAATTTCAATCATGTGACTATCATCATCATTCAGCCGGGCGGCTCAATCGCATGAAAAATCGGCTAGTGTGTCCACAGCTTTAGTCGCCTGACTCAGCCGCCCGACTCAAGCCGGGCGGCTCAATCGCATGAAAAATCGGCTAGTGTGTCCACAGCTTTAGTCGCCTGACTCAGCCGCCCGACTCAAGCCGGGCGGCTCAATCGCATGAAAAATCGGCTAGTGTGTTTAAAGGCGCGAAGCAATGTTAGGGGGTCCAGGGGCATGACCCCTCGGAAATATTTTGAAAATTTGCTTGAAATGGTGCATTTTAACAGTTTTTTTCTGGATAAAATATACCTAGCCCAACTATAAAATAGGCCTACAAGACCTAAAAAAAACACAAATAACAATAACATAATTTTTATATTTTTTGATGGTTGGGGTTCCGGAATCGCTGAAACTCCCTTTGGGTACGGGACTGTCCAAGACGGCTGCTCCTAACTACTCTCTAGATCTACTAATACTGGTTATGTTACTACTATACCTGAAAGAATACATAGATATTTGGGTAAAATACGTATGGGTGACTTATTTCTATTGTTGATTATAGTTATAACATAAATATTTCGAAGTAGTGGTAGTGTTAGTAGTGGTAGGTGGTAGAAATAATTAAATATCATTCAAGAATACATGTATTAGGATGTCGATACATAGCTGGTACAGCTAGGTTCATATCATACTGTTATACAGAGTTATCTGTTTTTAGTTGTATGATATCAAAAAAGATCGTAATCTACTATAAAACGCATAGGTAGAAAATTATATAAAATTCTCTTGTAATGATATTCTATATATATATATATATATATATATATATAGGCCGGCCTACACACGCATGCACATGCACACGCACACACATAAAGGAAGCATATTGCATGTGCTGTCCATGGCAGGCTATTTCTAATCATTACCACAAGAGAATTTTTCCTACATAGCTTCATGAAGCATTGACCTGAAATATGTGCTATATATTATATTCTGCCACTGTTGCTAATCTAATTATAAGACCCACTCATAATCATCGTCGAACTCCCAAACCTGTATTATGCATTATAGCTTTTAACGTTTCTTAATTATAACACGCGTGACTCGGCGTGAGACCAATGTTACAGTCACCTCATTATACTTATTGCGTGCCATATGCGCTTGCCCACACCACCAGCTAATTTAATTACAGTAATATACATGCCCTAATGAGTGTATTTATTAGAAACTATCAACTATATTGAAATTATAGGCATGGGTATGGGTTGTGTCATGTTGTTAGGATTCAAGAAGTTTTATTAATTTCATCTAAAGGTAGAGTCCTCTTACAGTTACAGTAACTTTCTTTATTAACAGCACACCAGACAACTGCATGGACAATGCTGTCACATAGTATGTGACATACATCAGTATGTTATTCCCAAATAGACGTACCTATTCAATGTGATTAGTATGTTAATTGTAATGTATTACAATAATCTAGAAAAAATAAATAAACATGGTGGTAGATAGCAAGTGGTCGAGCTTCTCTCCCATTCATATATATGTGGCAGATAAATGCTGTGAATGTACTGAGCGGGTACCAAGATTGAGAAATGGTGCGATTTTAATAATAATGTCAATAATAAATTGTCAATAATGTTAATTGTTTCGTGTATCTTCACAGAGCGATATACAAAATGCACAGATCCACTGGGAATGGAAGATGGGAGGATTGAAAATGGTGCCATCACATCTTCGTCCCAGGCTAGTGATGACAAGGGACCAGAGAATGCAAGGTTAAATAGTGTGCATGGTATGTTCATTCCGCTTCTAACAAGGAACTTTTATCGTTAGCGGTTAGGTATATAATAAAGTTTTCATATATCTCTAATTAGCAAAATGTTACATTCTTAAGTTAAGAATGTAACATTTTGCTAATCTTAACCCATACTCTATAAAAGATAAAACATAGATTTCTTGTGCTTAATTATCATAAAAATGGGCGTCTTACTATTAATTTGAATTCTTATATATATGGAGCAAAGTTCATGCAGCTAATAGGCTAACCTTGACTTCAAAGAATTTATACAGTGAAAGCCTGGTTCTTTTAGTTTTTACCCATAATAGCTTGAATTGACATACAAGCTTGTATGTGTTCTGTTCCTTTACTTTGGGTGACAGATTCAGATAAGCTTCAACAGCTGCCATTGGAACTTCCTGTGCCAGCATGTGTCTGGACACCCACTCATGTGATGCACATTTCCTTCCCCATCAGACCACAGTGCATTGCAAATGGAACCTCCATTTTGTAAAGCTGAGAGGGTCTATGTCCCCCAGGGTACTGCCAGAACGTACCCTGGTACTATCTAATATGCCGGACCGTACCTCGCCTACTCCACTAACGAGTCTAGGGAGTCGCCTACGCCTACTCCCTAACCCTAACCCTTTGGGGGACATAGACCCTATGAGCCTTTGTACACTGTGATGCTAGTCAATGGTTGGGAGCACAGTGAACGAGCGTCGGCGTCGTTGTCGCCCTAATGCAGTAATTAATCCATTTATTTACTCTACCATTCTCACAGTCTTGAGTTGGAATTTCAGATGCATGGACGTCCGGCATCACCGATTATAACCAGTATATACAGGTGGACCTGCGGCGGCGCCACGAGATCACGGGCATTGGCACGCAGGGTCGCGGTGGCAGCGATGACTACATCACGGAGTACCACGTGCTCTACAGCGACAACGGTCGCGATTGGATGGACTACGTGAACAAGCTTGGTCGCACGAAGGTAGCCCCGCTCGTGCCGTAGACGCGTCGTTGTGCGCGGCTTTCAGGCGGCGGGGTGACATCTGGTTCCATGCCTGCACTGCGTCAGTGGTTAATGCTGATGGTGTGAATCTCGTCACGTTCCCCTCCCCCCACGATATGTATTCATTTACGTGAAGGTTCCCATGGTCATGGTTAAATTTGGATATATGTATATACAGTATAGGAAAATTTGCCATCTTGGACAATCATGGAAATTTATCCTTTCTATAAAAAGTAATAAAAGTAGGACCAAAGGTTGTAGAATTCAGTCCTAAGCTACCACTTGCATTATGGTCATGTACTATAACATTTTTGCACCGTATTAGCAACATTAACACATAACCCTTTATTTGCTGTCATGCATAATGTTTTTCTCTGATTGTTGATAGCTACGTATGGTACATACATAGAGTTTAATGTTTTTGTTGTGGCAGTGTTCCTATTTACAAATTTAATTATATGCATTAAATGCACAAGATTGTGATGGAAAAGACTTAATTTCGTTTGGAGATTTGTAGTAGGACCCTGGTCTTATTTCTACCTTCTAGAGAAATATCCAGCCAGCCTTGGCCTTGTTTCTTAACCTTGACAATAATGAACTTATTTCATCAGTCCCTCTCCAGAGTGTTGGAAAGCAATTTGACTAGTACATCTAGTGTGTTATAATGGGATTTGACTGTATACGTATGCAAATGTGTGACTGCACTTGGTTATAGATCACTTCTAACTAACATTTCAACTTTTCTTCTGACTAAATACCTTCTTCAGCACAATTTCAGGTCTACTAACATGGACAGAATATTGTACGTGTATGACGTATGCAACTGAAACTAGAGTATCAATATCGTATGAAGATTACATGTCTCTGTTAACCAGCTACTACAGTACTAAGGCTACCTGGGCTAGATGTAACTCCTAACTGAAAAGTGCCAGAAGCATTGTGTCCAGGTCTAGGAATAGCAGCCTATTTCAGGAATGATATGGATCAGGGTTCGATGCGGCTGTTCAATGGAAGCACATACCTTTGTCTTCTTCCTCCTCCTGACATCTCGATGCAGGCTTGCCATGCGACGCAATGCGGCTTGCCATGCAACGCATTGAATGTGGCTGTGTAGCAGATGCGTGTTGGACTTACTTGTAAAAAACGAGTCGAATGCGTGTTGGTTGTCCGCAGTCTGGACAGCAAGAACACAGGACATGTGGCAGTGGCTGCAGGTTGACCTTCGTAAGCCCACGAGAGTGTCAGCGGTCACCACTCAAGGTCGCAGCCAGACTGACGAGTGGGTGAGCGAGTTCCTCCTGGAGTATAGCATGAACGGACGACAGTTTGTCAGCTACAAATCGAAATTTGGCCATGCAAAGGTGAAACTGTCAACGCTAACTCCATCCTGTGGTACCGTGGCTCCACCTTTGTGGCATCTTGCTGTGTCGCAGTGTGCGGTGCATGAGCATTGGATGTCTGTGCACGTGTAGGCGCTTACTCGTGACCTGTTACTGTTAGTGTTACGTATTTTTTGGCCGTTTCCCCCTTGATTACGTGTGTGCTTCTATTGAAAGTTTTCTTACTTTGAGGGGTTGTGCTGCTTTGAACAAGTTGTCTAAACAGCTGCATTCTATGAACTTTGTTGTGCCTTTAATGTGACCTTCCTGGATAATGTCAGCTTTTGTTGGTTGTGATGTGTCACACACGTACAAAATTTTAAGCCTGTTCTGTGATCATTGTATCTATGTGTCTATGTACTGCCTTTCTCTAACTTGTATCTTTAGATAGCTGTGAATCTATCTTGCACACTTATATTTGGTTCTATATGTAATTGTTGACTGTTTGACTGTCGCACCGCTTTTGTAGGCACTTGTAGTCTCTTTTAATATTTATCATAATGAATAACTTCAGGTATTCGATTGATATGAATTGAAGATTGTTGATTGTATACGTAGAAGGAAAATGTATAAATATTAGGAACGAACTCACAGGTGGGCGTGAACGAGTACAGCTTGCTAAAGACATGTGTTGAATGTGCGTGTTGTTCATCCGTGATGTCGTTGTTCATCCGTGATGTCGTTGTTCATCCGTGATGTCGTTGTTCATCCGTGATGTCGTTGTTCATCCGTGATGGTCTGTTGTTCATCCGTGATGTCGTTGTTCATCCGTGATGTCGTTGTTCATCCGTGATGTCGTTGTTCATCCGTGATGTCGTTGTTCATCCGTGATGTCGTTGTTCATTCGTGATGTCGTTGTTCATCCGTGATGTCGTTGTTCATCCGTGATGTCGTTGTTCCTGCTTCCACAGACGTTCAATGCAAACACAGACTCGACGTCGATGGTGCAGAACACGTTTGAGCAGCCAATCGTAGCGCGCTACATCCGCATCAACCCGGTCCAGTGGCACCAGTACATCTCAATGCGCATGGAGCTGTTCGGCTGCATCTACTGTGAGTGTGAGATGTACGGTGACTCGTACAAACGCTGCGTCTGCCTGAGCGAGTTGCCTCTTCTAATCAGCGAATTGGAATCGATTAACCTCACCTACCGATATTAATTTTAATCGGCTCGCCGTTGCTTGTATGCACACAGCATTCGCGTTTTTTCCGTTGACGTGTTTGTAAAGCCTAGCGCGCACACCCGAGCAAAACGGGAAATTTTGTTTTCCAGCGTTTCGCGTTCTGCTCGGCGAGCAAGCGCACACACGCCACCCGACACAGCACACAGCTGAGCAAAACATACAGAAACACTGCGTACAGCACCGCTGTCACATGACATCAAAAATAGCCATTCAATGGACATCCAATTTTGTGTGTCATGTGATATTTTTAAGGATATTGATTGGAGACCGTCTGTGGCGTTTCGCTGTGTAGCAGAACGATTGACGCGCACACCCGAGCAAAACGTACGCTCAGGCGAAAACACGTTTCGCGAATCAAACATTGCTTGTTCAGCGAAACACGCTCAGCTGAGCAATGTTTTTGTTTCGGGAATCCGCACACAGCCACGAACATCAAGCGAAACACGTTTTGCTCCACGTTCAGGGTGTTTTGCTCGGGTGTGTGCGCTAGGCTTAACTGGCGTGTCAGAGCTGTGGGTGAAGAATGTCACTATAATCTGATCAAAGTAACAATATGAACAACCAGTGTGGTGTGCTCGGTACAACAGCACGATTCAGTAGAATGAAACGCGCGTTCACGTAACTCGGAACTAGCTTTCGCAGACGATCGTTGCCACCTTGCTTCAGCTCAGCAATCCTAACCGAGGTCAACAGCCACTAATCGGTCATTCTCGGACGTGTCCGATCGATGTTACGCGAGAGTTACGCGGTTATGCTGAGCCGTAAAGAAATCACGATCGATCGTGACGGAACGTTCGCTTGTTTTTGCCGTTTCAGCATCGCAGACCGTGCAGTTTGTTACCCGGGACTTACGCGGTTACGTTGTTACGCTGAGCCGTAAAGAAATCACGATCGATCGTGACGGAACGTTTGCTTGTTTTTGCCGTTTCAGCATCGCAGACCGTGCAGTTTGTTACCCGGGAGTTACACGGTTATGTTGTTACGCTGAGCCGTAAAGAAATCACGATC